ATGTTATGCATAGCAACAGATTTATAAAACATTAATTAGATGTTGCTAGCTATTCAGGCCAACAAAATCTTTAAAAATAAATATTTAAGTAATTATGCTTCCCTTCAACAGAGCCTCTGTTTCTTTTGCATAATAATTTATTTGTTTCCTTTCAAGTATATTTCTTTGAAACTTTCTTGGACTCAACTTTCTAACTTGGGAAATGTTTTAAAATTTAACTTATTTTTAAAAAATATAATTGTGGAGTCTTCAATAGATTCTTTTAAAAGAATTATTCTTTTCAATAATTAAAAAAGTTTGACACTTTTTTCCTTCATGCAATTTGAGAAGATTTTACTGAGTCCCATTTGAAAAATTGGATTATGTAATTGAATTAGAATTAGATTTATATAATGATATCAGTTTTATGATCCAAGTGAATCAGAATTGTTTTTAAGATTAATAACATCTCCAGAGATAGTACCTAAGTTTGGTTAATATTCAAATGGATTTTTATTCAACTTTAGTTTTTTTAACAAAAAGCATAATCAAGTTCAGACCAAGATGTTAAGCAGATGGAGGGGAAAAATGGCAAAGCTAGGTTATTAAATTGAATTTTATTTTGTATTTGGTAAGTTGAGATTTCACTTAAGCTGGAGACAAACTTCACATTTTGGTCACTAAAATCTCAGTGAGAGTTGCTGTATCCAAAATAACAGAATATCCGCCTGTTTCATCAGGATGACTCCTGGGGTGGCAGGCAGTGCTGAGTGGGGCTTTCACTGAATCCTGGCCATGAGGGATCAGAGAGCAGAAGAGGAGGCAGAGCAGGGTGTGTGGACTCTGCCAACCATCCACGCCTCTAGCCATTGTACACTCAATGCTTTGATTGATGTTCAGTGTTTCCCTGATGGAGGGACTGTAGAAACAACCCATGCTATTCCTAGGACCCAATAACAGCCCAAACCCCTTGATCCAGAGAATGCTTTCATCTATATTTGTTTTGTTATACAAAGAGTGATGGACACTTTATAGGGTGCACGCACAAGTCGACATGTTGGGATTGATGAAGGTTTTACCTTTTGGGCATTGAAGTACTAAATGAATAGACACAGGCCTTTGGAGCTCCTTTCTTGCCCATAGATAATAACCATATCACCAAAACCAAACTGGCCTCGGCTGCTATCTTCACTCCCTGTATTTATAATTCTAGGCATCATAATTTATGTTGATCTTGTCTGTTCCATTTTCTTGGAAGCTACTCATAGGTTAAAAACTTTTCTTTTCCTTAAAAGCTCCTCATACTGCCCTAGATCATGTTCTGTTCACAGAGAGTTCAACGAATACTGTGGTACTTAGGACTGATTTACTTAACTTCCTCTCTCTCTCTCTCTCTCTCTCTCTCTCTCTTTCTTTCTCTTCCTTCCTTCCCTTCTTTCACTCCCTCCCTCCATTTATCTTCCCCATATCCTTCTCAAGAGATTGATTTTATTTTTCTCCTGCTTTTTAATAAACTGCTTTGTTCATGAGTCTCACATCAAGGACCTCTTTTCTATTTTCTTCATGTAATTTTTCTAGCCATCCCTTCAAATTATAAAAGTGCTGAAGGTATAAGCCCTTCTGCAGGCAGTAAGATAACAAGTCTGGCAGAACTTTCCTTTTGGCACAAGTAGCACTTGAGTTTTCTTTTTCAGTTTCATGTTCCATTTTTCCACCAAAGCTTCACCTCTGTACCAAATGACAAAGAATGGTCAAGAACACAAACCCAAAACACCCAGACCCAGTCTCAAATTGGAAGTAATTTGCTATAGGCCCAACATTTCCTGGATGTGCCCTGTTTTATTATATTTATTTTTATTTGTCTTATGATAGATCTCCACATTTGCTTTACTATAGTTTCCTCTGAATCTCTCACATAGGTGTGGATGCTCCCAAGGGTTAGATGGCGCTTCTCTGTGAGCAGGCTGCACACTCACATTGAAACACACTTCAGCAGAAGAAGCAAGAGCTAAGAATGCCTGAAGGCGGACTCTTTTGCTGTTCTAGACAATCAGCTGCTTCACCTACGCCTGACAGCATTAATGACATGTGATTTAAATATAAAAACAAAATTACCAAGTTATGGCATCCTATAATGAAGGCTTATGACTCTTGAACTTTTGTTGAGAAATACATGACAGCTTATGTTTGTAAGCTTTGCCTAAGAGTTTATTGAAAATAATAATAATTTTTAACAATCAATTTTTTTTAAAAAAGGCAGAATCATGTGACCAAGTACTGTTCCAGAGTTCAAGAGTTTTACCACTTATCAGACTTGTGACCTGCACATGTTATTTCGCCCCCTATGTTCTTCAACTGTAAAATGGGAGTGATACTGCGTACTTTATAGGGGAGTTGATTAAATTAGTAAATTTAATTAAATTAGTAAATTACTACTTAGAAACTATAAAATCAGTGAAAAAAACATTTATACATAAATGAAATTGAGATTTGTTTTGTTATAGGAGTGGTATCAGGCAGTGTTGACTTCAGGGGCCTCAGAAGGTGGAACTCAGCCCCTATATTCCCATGTGAGCTAGAACTCCTGTTATCTCCATTGGTCCCTCATCATACTGTGACAACAGTGCACAGCCTGCTATCTCTCCTAACTCTCTGTCCCCAAAGATAAGCCATGAAGCCATTGGAAAGAGGTCATCCATCATGACATTGCTTGGTATAGTTATTCTTTAGAAACTTAGCTCGCAGTCTGGGTGGGGTGTGTTGGACCAGGACGGCAGGAAACACAGCTGGACAGGCGCTGTCTTTCTGGCGCTATCTTGTCTCTGCATGTTATTGTTTCAGGACATACATTATTTTTGTTCTTTCCCAGGAAACTTTAACCTTTCAAAAAGGCAATGATGAAGATGCTCATTGACACTGACCTCAAAGACCATCTCTCAATGGAATCACTGGCAATTGATTTTTTTTTTCTCATCACCTTGGCCCTTTATTATCTCCTGGTGATAAACCCTATGTGGCTATTTTTCATTGTGTGGATAATCTAGCAACCAAGCTTTGGGAGCCCATGTTTATATTGTTTCCAACAAGCCTGGTTTTCAGCTGGATCTGCTCCCACTACAACCCTGAGATAATACGTCAAAATGAAAAGGACCCCATTGTGGTTGTAAGAACATGTAACAGAAATAGGTTTCATAAACAAGAGCAAAATATAGGTGTTGTATACGTGCAAGAACAATGAGAACAAAGCTCTCTTGATGATGTTTACACATGTGAACCTCTAAAGAGTGAGAAGAATCATGAACATTTGGAGTTCAAAGAGCCTACTGTGCGCAATAGTGGTATTCCCATCTGAGTGCAAGAGATCACCAAGGTGACTCTGTTTCCACTAGCTGATTACCAGCCCAGGCCTAGAAACTGCAGGCCAAGAAAGACTTCCTCAGGTGGCTCCTGAAACTTTCTCCTTTACTACTGAGCCCAAACAGGTAGAGGCATAACAGAATGTTTAAAACAGTCACCAAATGGCCCCTCTCTTAAAAAGAGAGATGAATATGCAGTCTTTTCGGCAGAAGATTCATCGTTATTAATATCATCAAACATATGAGTTAATATTGAGCCTGAACAATTAGATTTCTCTTATCAAAAGTTCAGGTACAGGGAGAAAGAAGGAAGCTTCTGAATTAGGGATTTGCTTATCGGAACTCAGGGTATGGAAAGGGGATATTTTAAGAGGGCTTTGGAGTCAGGATGACAAGAACTATCACCTTCATTCCCAGACAACCCTGGGTTCAAATCCTACCTCTGATACTTAATGTGTAAAGAGTTTCTACCCTCTTTCAGTCTTAGAATCCTCCTGTATAAAATGAGGAAGTTTATAAAGTTCTTGTTATGTTTAAAAAAATAATGTATGTAAGTTTGTACATGATAGGTTTGAATAAATGGTATTTATGAATTAGCTCTTAGCTGAAGAAGACGGAAGAATAATATGACTTGTGATTTAATTTGGTATCTCATGTAGAGAAGACCTGCAGACAGAGTTACTTTGGTATAATTCTCCTGAATCAACTAAAGAAGCATTTCTGGAACCTCTACTATGTGCCACCATCCTCTGCTGTGTACTGTGGCAGGGATAGAAAGGAAGAAGTCACTCACACAGTCCAGGTTAGACATGTCAATAAATGTTCTCATGGGATTGTCTCCCATTTATTTTCATAATATGGTTTCTAACCTGTAGAGGACAAGTAATAAATATTTGCAGAATGAATAAATGGGGCAGCGAACAAATATATTTATAATTAGAATATGTTTTCTCTACTGAAAGAAGCATGCAATTCAGGAGAGAAAGATGCACCTAAGAACTGTTGGAGAAAACCAGGAAAGGAAATAGCAGAATACCCCATCGGCAATCAAAATGTTTTAATAGTCTTACCCAGTGAAATGAGGATGCTCATGAATCCTTCAAATAGCTATGCCTAACAGAGATTTCAGAAAAAAAACAAACAAAACAAAAACAAAAACTGCTAACATATTAAATTGGCAAACCCTGGTATGGACATCTCTTGCATCCTAAGCCCAGGGCTAGACAAAATAAATACAAATAAAAATGAAGTTTAATGGGGACTCTTGAGGAACTCACAGGTCACTGGAGCTGATTGTTCTAAAGTCTTTATATGGTTACATGGGGTTAGACTAGAATTCCTACTGGATTGAGATTTTGCTCTGTATTTTACCAAATGTAAACAAAATATGCTTGCAAAATATGTTTGCAAAATATGCAAATATCCTTCTATGCCAAAATATGCTTAATGCCAGCAACTGATAGAAAACGACTTTTAGCAAGGTATCTATATAACTCAGAGAATAATAGAGGTATGTTTAATAGCATTGGAATTATATCTTTTGCATTTTTAAACACAGTGAACTTTACATATTTAAAATTAAGTAAAAAGAGAAACATTCGTTATGTTTTTCCCCTAAGAATTGTTTTCTCGTCTTAATTATTGGTTAGTGTTATAACCACTCACCACAATCCAGACCTCAGGCACCAAGCTTCTTCCTTTCCATTATATTATTCTGCTCGAGCAGCTTCAGCAAAAGTTTCAAATAAAGAGGAGAAGAAGAAAAACTCACATCAGTAATTTGTCACATCTATGAATAGTTCTATTAAAAATTATATTATAGGCAGAAAAGTGAAATTATTAACTGATAATATTTTGAGTGATCAGGATTTGACCCTCCTTGTCCATTTGGGGATCTACCAGTTCCCACTGTGGGCCCTGTGGTTCTCCACTCACCCCCACTTTTGACCACAGATCCAAGTTGTTCAGTGCATCTCATTCTCCCTCAACTCAGTTATTATTTCGGGATTTCAAATATGACACAAGTCAACAAAGCAAAATTCAATGCAATTTTGCTAGATTTTTTTCTGGGAAAGATATTATGAATTTTCCTTATGGATGTGGATTTCAGAGCACAGAGCAGCACACTGCTGCCATTTTATACCTTAGCCATGACGGCAGTAACATAGCTGAAAATAGAGCCAAGATCCCTTGCTCAGCATCTCCTGATTTTCCTGACAAGATTAGGCATAATTCCACCCCTTTGCAGTTGCTTTCTACTTCTTTCCTTCCTTCTGCAAAAAGTAACAGAATCAACTCTGCCTTTACCTTAGCCTCTTGCTCTCTACTTTGTTTGGTCTTTAAGAAGGAGAGAAGGAAGGAAGGAAGAAATGGAGGGAGGGAGGGAGGGTGGGAGGAAGGAAGGAAGAAAACAAAACAATAAAAATGCCACCTGTAACCATCAATCAGCACATGTACAAATACACCATGTATTTATGTCAAAATACACTCTACTGTCATGTGTATTTAATAACAACAAATAAATTGAAAAACCAATCAACCAACCAAACCTCTCCCTTCACTCCACTCCTTCCAAAATTCTGAAAAGAAAGGCCTACACTTACCATCTCCATGTCTTAATCTTTCCCCTCACTCCTTTACCCTCTCTCTGCACTGAATTCTAATCTCTTTCTTCCACCAAATTTTTCTTGCTAAGGTCACCAGTGACCTCAGTCACAAGAAATTTTGTGGCCGGCAGGCTAGTTCTGACTTTTCAGCACGTTCAATTTGGACACTCTCTGTTCCTTTTGAAATACTACGTGCCCTTGATGTCTACAATGTCACACATGTTCTGTTTTTCACTAACATATTTCACCACTTTTCTGTTTTACTTCACAAGCTAATCTGTCGTTACACAGACTTAAAATGCCAGAATTCCTAAAACTTTATGACTCTATTTTTTTAAAAAATCAACCATCTATATTCCCTCCTACAGAAATCCAGCTAAGCCCATTGCCTCAATCACCACCTGCATGTGGTTGACTGAAAATCATTATTTCTGTCCTTTCCACATTCTCGTATATCTAGATCTACCTTGACAGTTATTCTCCAAATATCTCAAAAATTCAGCTCACCCTCTTTCTCATCCTTGCCCCCAAATCTGTTCCTCCCCAATATTTCCATCTCAGTGCACATCACAACCACCATCTTTGACCGTTTTAGCACAAATCCCTTATCCAGCTGCCTAAACATTCTATGTATTAATTACTAGAGAAGGATGTTGGAGTTTCCAAGTATAATTGTGGGTTTTTGAAAATTCATACATGCACAAAATATAGCAATATAATTTGGCCAATATCATTCTCCATTACTTTTCCTTTCCCTCCCTTACTCTCTCCCCATGTACCCTTTCCTCTATCCTATTGATTTCTCTTTGATTTTTGTGAGATTTGCCCCCCATGTATCCCCCACTTTTCTTTTCCTTTTTTTCCCTCTCTGGTTTCCACATATGAGAGAAAACGTACAACCCGTGAACTTCTGAGTTTTGTTTATTTCACTTCACATAATGTTCTCAACTCCCATCCATTTTCCTGCAAATGACATAATTTCATTTTTCTTTATGGTTGCATAAAACTCCATTGAGTATATGTGTCACATTTTCTTTATTCATTCATCGATGGGCATCTAGGCTGGTTCTATAGTTTGACTACTGGAACTTGTAGAGCTATAAACACCTGTGTGCATGTATTACTACAGTATGATGACTTTAATTCTTTAGGGTAAATACTAAGGAATTGTTTAGCTGGGTCATAAGGTGATCCCATGCCTAGACTTTTGAGGAATCTTCATGCTGATTTCCATAATGGTTAGAGAAATTTACAACCCCATCAGTAGTATTCCTACTTCTCCACATGCCCTCCAGAATTTATTATTATTTATTATTATTATTTGTATTCTTGATGACTGCCTTTCAGCATAGTTTTGATTTACATTTCCCTATTTGCTAATAATGTTGAATATTTTTCATACATTTGTTGATCATTTGTATTTCTTCTGTTGAGAAGTACCTGTTTAATTCACTTGCCCATTTATTAATTGGATTATTTGGGTTTGGGGTGTTAATTTTTTTTGGTTTTTATATACTCTACTACATAAAATGGATGGAAGTTCAGAACATTATATGAAGTGAAATAAACAAACTCAGAAGTTCAAGGGTTGTACGTTTTCTCTCATATATTCTTCGTCACAAGAATAACTCACAAAGATTTTCTCCTATTCTGTGGGTTCTCTCTTCCCTTTTCTAATTGTTTTCTTTGCTGAGTAGAAGCTTTTTAATTTGATGCCATCCCATTTATTAACTCTTGGCATTATTTTCTGAGTTTAGTGATCCTATTGAGAAAATCATACCTATATGCTGGAATGTTGACCCTATGTTTTCTTCTAGGAGTTTTATTGTTTCTGGTCTAATTCCATTTTGAGTAGTTTTTTTATGTGTGTGCAGAGTGAAAAATAAGGATTTAGTTTCATTTTGCTACATATAGATAACCAGTTTTCCAAGCATCATTTGTTTAAAAGGTTGTCTTTTCTCCAAGGTATGTTTTTGGCACCTTTATCAAGGATTAGATGACTGTAGGTGTGTGGGTTTGTCTCTGTGCTTTCTATTCTGTACTATTGGTCTATGTTTCTGATTTTATACCAGTACCATGCAATTTTCGTTACTACAGCACTATAATATAACTTGAAGTCCTGTGTTGTGACGCCTCCAGCATTGTTTATTTGATTTTGAATTGTTTTGATTATTCTGGGTCCTCTATTCTTCTAAATGAACTCTTTTAGAGCTGCTTTTTTTTTCTAGTTCTGTGAATAACATCATTTAGATTTTGATGGGGATTGCATTGAACCTGTATATTGCTTTTGGTAGTATGTCCATTTTACCAATATTAATTCTGCCTGTCCATGAACATGGGAATTCTTTCCATTTTCTGAGGTCTTCAATTCTTTCTTCAATGATTTCTTCAAAATTATTCATCTATAATTTTCATTGTAAATGTCTTTCACTTCATTGGTTAGATTTATTCCTAGGTCTTTCATTTTATTTGAGGCTATTGTGAATAGAATTGTTTTCCAGTGTTTGTTTTTTTTTTTTTTTCTTCATCAGATTTCGTTGTTGGTATATAAGAAAACTACTGATTTTTGTATGTTGATTTTGTAAACTGCTACTTTGCTGAATTTGTTTATTAGCCCTAGTGGTCTTTTGGAGGAGTTTTTAGGATCATCTAAGAACAGGAACATATTAACTTCAAACAGTGATAATTTGACTTCTTCCCTTCCTATTTTTAATCCCTTTTATTTCCTTCTCTTGCCTAATTGCACAAACCTGTGTTCTTAGCCATTGTGCTATGAAGTCCTCACTCTGCCATATTACTTGTGGAAAGAGTAATAATAATTCAAAGGGGATGAGATTTCCCAGGAAAGTGTCGTGAATATATGCCAATACTGAATCATGGAAAACACTAAATATGAGCAGTAGATGAAAGTAGAGGATTAGAAGAGACTAAAAAGCATTTGTATCTTTGCCTGTTTTTTTAAGGAACATCAGATATCTTAACAGAGAGGATATAAATGCAGAGCTCATAATAAACATTTTGATAACTTTGTTGATGATGAAACCATGAGTATCCTCAGGTAACCTAAGGTACTACTTCCCTAAATTTATTTAATAGCATAATGTGAATGTTTCCTCATAATATTTTCAGCTGTGCTAGATTTTTTAATTGCTGGAAATGGAATAAATAACCTGGAGATAATATAAGCTTTGTTAATATTTAAGAGAAAAAAAAATAAGTGTTTTCCTGGTAAATGTTAAACAATGGACACCAATATGAAGAAAAATGCTTTTATTCCTATGGAGTCATCTTATTCTAACACAAATAAATGATGATGCAGTAGGTTTTATTTATATTTAAGAATGACTGTAATTTACTAATTCTTGGTGTTCCCAATCCTTTTCCAATCACATGAACAGATTTTAACAGTTTGAATTTCCCCTTATTTGTCAGTGAATAAAGACTGCTACTTTGGGCAGGATTACATTAATTCATGTTAGGAGACAGAAAGATAAGTGACTTCAATATAGCTGATAAAATAATATTTTGGCAATAATGTAGTCAATCATTGAAATAAATTTTGAAGACTGTGAAATCATTTGCTCTAGTTGCATATGCCTTGGCTTTCTGAAATGTTTGTTCTTGTTGAAAGAAATTTTGTGGGCTCACGAATCCCTGGGTATGCTAAAAGTTTGTAAAAACAATGAATTTTTTTTTCATTATCCTGTCTCTCAGTCACAGGATAACCTGGATATATTGGTGTGGTGTAAAAAAAAAATCCTTTTCCCTTGAAGGAGGACCATCCAAAAGGATAACTTTATTATAACTTTACAGGACTATTTTAAAATAATGGAACTAAAAAGTACTTAGAGTAATCAGATGTCTTTGAACTCCAAGTAGAGAATAAAGCATTTGCATAAAAACCTGCCTGGGTCTGTGCTTTGCTCATCATGAGTTATCTCCTGCTTTTGCCAGAGGATGACAAGGGATGAATGGGTGGTTTGACACAGAACATGCTGTATGGATGCTGGAAAGGCAGGTAGGCACTTTAACAAAAAACATTTTGAATGCTACCTATCACTAAATTAGGAGTTTGGGGATAGGGGAGAAAGAGTGTAGAAATGATACTAATACGGTGAGA